CAAAGGAGAATGTTTTAAACACATAAATTTATTGTTATAAGGCACAGTGAAAGAAACTTTCGATATGAAACTGGTAAGAACAGACAGTTATTGTAAAAAAACATTCTCACACACGCATCACTCACAAAAAATGTAAAAAGCAACGATGTTATATACTTCCTCGCACTGTAGGGCCGGCTCGCACCGTGAAATCGCGAGCTGGAGGCCTTTTTTTATTTTGATCCCATTCTGTTCCTACCATTTGTTATAAGGAAGGAAAATGGATTTGATGATTGGATGATCTGTAATTGATTGTCATTTTCACAATCAATTAAAGGTAGGCAACACATCTGTAATTGTAGACGTCCATGGCAGTCGCTTCGCCTTTTCGGCGAATTCAGGTGCCCGCAAACTCATTTGCCACTTTGGTTTGTAATTATTTTTATTAAGAAAATTTACACAAAATTACCACTGAGAACAATTAACAATGAATATTGATATATTTGAACAGGCGCAAAATATGCATTTCAACATTCTAATGTTTACTTAATATTGGTGTTGGATAAAAATAAGATATACATTTATGTAATGTTTATGTAGTGAAGAAAAACATCTCGATGAAACCTGCACATATTGAGAAGAAATTGAAGATATGTGTAGTTAACAAACCCACATGGCGGCACTTGGCCAACACAGCAATCTGGACTTCTCCAAATTCACATTGTTGAGATGAACAGACAACTCTGGATTTGCTTAACTTTCATCCTAGAATAAAAAATAGTACATGTACTGAAATTCTTGTATGATCTTAGATCTTAAGTAAATAATTTCTTAGTCAATGGATGTGGGAGGTTGATGTTTATGTTGTGGAAAGTTGTTATTCCTTCAGCTGAAGCATTTGATAATTTACGAAAACATATTGCAATACAAAGAAATCAGTATATGCCTAATTTTGGTACCTTTCCCTTTCCATACTTTTCTTAAGAGGAAAGGATGGGAAGGATAGATGGATTTGACGATGGAGGAGATGCATAGAAAGGAGAAGTGTCCTCTTTATGTGCATCTCCTCCTCTGTCAATTAAGGGTAGGAAACGCATCTGCAATAGCGGATGTTTATGGACAGCGGTTGCTTTCCATTTCGGTGAATTCAGGTGGCAGCTTACTCGTTTGCTGCCTTTTATTATAAAAAAAATATTCTATGTCTGGTTTTATTTGTGACTGGGTTTTTGAGTTATTTCAATATATACGAAATATATACGAATCTTTATAATATTAGTATAGATTTATAAATGCCATGCTTTGTTTTCTAATCACAATATACTATCAGAACCATCTAAGTAAATAATACAAATGTTAATCAAAATTGTAAATTTTTAGACAGCCAAATAAATATAAAATTCAATATATGCAATAATATTCATAGTGCAGCAATGTATCATATGCACAGCAAGACATGTCCGATCTACCGCCAAATTGAGTGGGCATACTTCTATATGCTATGATGCCCTGAAATATTTGCAATGATAGCATAAAGAGTGGTAGATGAAGCAGAGTGTGGTGGCTGGTTGCAGTACTGCCTGAGCAGCGACGCGGCCAAGCCGTGCTTCGTGCTGTCGTTCAAGGAGC